GCTCAAGTCACTTCTGACTTGTGGCAATCCTAAGGAGAACCTATCATGGGGTTTTCTGGGGCTAAGAGTATGTGGTGACTCGAACTCTGTTCTCCAGAGTCCTAGTCCAACGTTCAAACCACTACACCATGTTGGCGCTTGCTCAGTGTCCATAGGGATTTTATTTTAAGCATAACCTTATTTCTTCTGCACAGTAAACTTGGAGTAAGATTTTTTTCTTTATAAATAGCCCCATATCTTTTATTGACTAGTTTCCTGCTTGTTCCTTTTGTCTTGCAATTTATTAATTTTAATGATATTTTAATTATCGTATGGATTTATCTTGATTTCTGCCATGCTTTGATGGTTTTCAACAGGAAGGCTGTATAGAAATGTTGAATAAGTCTCAGCATATGTATCTGATTCCTGAGGCTGGTTTTTAAGATGCTTTTCTTCCTTGCATTTAGGCATTTCTTGTATTTTTCTCTTGTCTTGCCTCCAAAGTTCTCAGGATGATATATATTGTTTTCCCTCTTTTTTATCCATCATTCCGATGGATGAGGAATGTTTTAGAGGTTGGCCAGGTTTTGTTTTGTTCTGTTTTGTTTTGTTTTGTTTTGTTTTGTTTTGTTTTGCTTTGTAGGTTTACGATGTTTTTATAAATGTTTTGATTATTTTAATTATGAGATGTTTAATACTGTTTTAAGGGGGGGTTGGTCTTAGGGTTATATTGTATGGGTTTTTTATGTAAGCCGCTTGGATTGTCTCTTTCAATAAGCGAGATATAAATAAATTGTATTATTATTATTATTATTATTATTACCCTTACAATTTGGTGAGATGAGCTAGGCAAGTGAGTAAGTAAGCAAGGAGGTCCATGTGTAAGAGACTGTTTGAAGTTAACCAGTGAGATTTATGTTTGAATTTTAGTAATTTCTTGAGAGAGGAACCAGTGCGGCGTAGTGGTTTAAGTGCTGTACTAGGACTCAGGAGACCAGGGTTCGAATCCATGCTTTGCCATGGAAACCCACTGGGTGATCCTGGGCAAGTCACACTCTCTCAGCATCAGAGGATGGCTATGGCAAACCCCTCTGAAGAAATATTGTCGAGAAAACCTTGTGATAGGTTTGTCTTAGAATCACCGTAAGTCGGAGATGACTTGAAGGCGGCCCACAATGACAACATTTCTTGGCAACTTTTGTGTTAAGAGCTGGAAACTTTGTATTGCTTCAAGCACCGCAATTTTCAAATGGAGTCGTTTCACATTCTCAGCTGCCATTTCTCAGTAATTGGCCATTAAGCAGTATGCTTGCCTTCTGAACCCCAAATACTTGTTCTTCAAGAAAACTAGTTATCCCTAAGGGTCTTAAAAATCAGAATGAGTGCAAAGTTTAGAAGTGTTTGTAAATGTAACTTTCTCTGCCAAATGAGAATGCTGTTACAGATTGAGGTGTGCCCATGTATAAAAATTAAGTAGTTTCCATGTGGCTTTTCATTTCAGTCCCGAAATGGTTTAGAACAATGCAATGTTACCTAGTACCAAATTCAGAAAAATTAAGATATAAAACAGTAACAGAAAATTTCATTACAAGGGATGAAGGACTAGGCAAGTGATCAGGGAATCTTTCAGGAGGTGGTAAAACATCCTTCTTTATATGACAATATTTAGGATAATACAGTAGAGATGATAAATGATCTGGCTGCCGTATATAATGTGTTGGGCAAATATGCAGTGGTTTGTCTTTGGAGATACATCGATTAGACCGGTATGGCCTCTTTTAAAGCTGAACTAGACAAAATGTTTAGTGGCCGACACGACAACCACAATGCAAGTTTGACGCGGCTGCTGAGCTGCAAAGTGAGTAACTTTTTCCAATGAAGAGTGTGGAATGCAACACTGAAAATAGTCACAGTCTGATCCAGCTTTTGTTTATCCCAGCCACTACTTCCTGATGTGTCTATAAACTGTGTTGAACTTCGCTCTTCTGATTGTATTATGAAGTTTAGCTGCTGGAGTGTCAGGAAATCTTTTTGGAGAAAAGGTTCAAGATTCTGGTCAACGTACAACTAAATCTCAATCATAACAACTTAACATTGTGTCCACACTAAACAATTATAGCACTATGAGGCCTGTTATGAGCTGCTTATTCTCGGTCGGGATCATACAAATTCATAAAAATGAATTTCTTCCACATTTACAAGCAGCACAAGTCTGCGTTCAAATTATGTTGGCTTGACAAAGAGATGATCTCAATTATTTAGAGAGTAGACTAAAGCCCAGGGATCTTTTATGCTGCACAATTACAGTGCTAGGTTTCCCCTTTAATCACCAAAACAACATAGGATACAATCTTGGGATTTGCAATTGAGGATTAAAATCCTCACCTAGAGAGCTACTCTGGTGCCTCTGGCTCAACTACAAATCCCAGGATTTCATAGGAGCCAGCCCTGGCAATTAAAGAGGAATCATAAGCTGGTGTTGTATAGTGGTTTGAATGTTGGATTATGACTCTGGAGACCAGGGTTCAAATCCCCGCTCGGCTATGGAAACCCATTGGGTGACCTTGGGCAAGTCACACTCTCTCAGCCTTTGAGGAAGGCAATGGCAAACCCCCTCTGAACAAACCTCGCCAAGAAAACTCATGATAAGTTCTCCTTAGTGGTCACTAAGTTGGAAACAACTTGAAGGTACATAACACCAGCACTTTGGATGAAGTGGGGTTATATCCATGAAAGCTCATGCAAAATTAAAAAGCTGAATTCTAAATTGGATACCAAAGGTCTGGTGAACAGTGGACAATGTTAATACCTATTCAGTTGTTTAACCTAGGAATGAGGAATGGGCGACTTTATGAGAGACTTCCTCTTATCAAACATGGCTTCTTCTTCTTCTTCTTCTTCTTCTTCTTCTTCTTCTTCTTC